CCTGTCCCCTTCTTGTGAGAGGGTTAAGACGCCACCTCAGAGGATCCATTGATTCAAACTGTAGAGGAACCAGCCATGTGGCTCATCTCTTCTCTCCTCCCCACAGGATGGAGAGATACCTGTCCCTATCCAGGGACCAAGCTGTGGAACACATTCCCTATTTCTTCATCACCTCACCATCAGCCAAAGACCCAACATGGAAGGACAGGTTCCCAGGTGAACAGGGGCCACAGAAGAGGGGAAGGGAAGACAGTAGGATAGGCCCAGCACCAGGTGTAGTGACCAGAACTCTGTCTCCTCAGACCAATCAACACTGATGATGATGTTGCCTGCCCGCTACGAGTGGTTTGAGGAATGGCAGAGTGAGCCCCCACACAAGACGGGGAGTGACTATGAGGCCCTGAAGGACTCATTCATAGATGCTTCCATGTCTGTTTTGATGAAACTATACCCTCAGTTGGAGGGGAAGGTATTGGTGTAGGGAGAGGTTGGGGAGGCAGGCCAGCCTTAGTTCTACGGCCTCATATTGAGACAGAGGAGGGTGGTTCTGAAGGGAAGTAAGTACCTGTGAGTGAGGGGTACAGAGCCTCAGACAGCTCACCTTGGTGTGGTACAAACGGAAGAGAAAGTAGGGATGATGGAGTCTAAGGCCCAACTGTATTTCTTCTCCATCTCAACCATCTTCTTTACCTCCTCAGGTTCATAATGTATCAGTAGGGAGTCCACTCAGCCGTCAGTTCTTCCTGGCTGCCCCGCATGGAGAGACTTGTGGGGTTGGCCACAACCCGAACCATCTACAGCCCCACGTACTGGCCACAGTGAGGGCCCAGAGCCCCATCCCCAATCTCTACCTTACAGGTACAATGCCTCACTATGCTAGGACTTGGGCTGTTGCTGTGTTCCTTGGGCTCTCACCTCTTTGCCTCCCCAGGTTCTATCTTGGAAGTTCTATGAGCAGCAGGAGCTACTTGATCCCAAGCAAGGCTGGGAGACAGCGGGGGAAGAAGACAGAGGGATTTGACTTGTGGTGCCTCTATCAGGGATTCTTTTTTTTTTTTTTAAGGCAATTGAGGTTAAGTGACGTGCCCAGGGTCACACAGCTAATAAGTGTCAAGTATTTGGTCTGAGGCCGGATTTGAACTCAGGTCCTCCTGACTTTGGGGCCAATGCTCTGTCCACTGCGCCACCCAGTTGCCCCCTCTCAGGGATTCTTAACATAAAGTCTATGAACTTGTTTTTACATTTTGATAACTGCATTTCAATATAATTGGTAAAATAATCGGTATTTTGTCTTATGCTTTTAAAAACATTCTTTGAAGGAGTCCACAGGCTTTGTCAGTCTGCCAAAGGGGTCCACGACATAAGTGAAGAACCCCAGTTCTATTCTGGTATTGGACTGATGAAGCGGCCTGGTCTCTTAGGCCTTGGGTCCCTCTTGTATCTTCACTCAGCAGCAGCTGTTTTGCCCAGACCCTCATTGATTTCTCCAGAAAAGGAGAGAGAATGTACTCCAGGGAGGTGGGAACCGAGCTCAGTCCAGACCCTAGGAGTCCTTCTTCTCTCAGAGCTTAGGCACAGCCTTCTGAGTTCCCTGGCTGAGAAACAGGCTTGCCGTCCTGCTTGGCCTGGCCCTCGCATGACCCTGCTTCTGCTTTCTAGGTCAGGACGTGTTCACCTGTGGTTTGTTTGGGGCCCTACATGGGGCCCTGTTGTGCAGCAGCACCATCCTGCAGAGGAACGTGCACCTGGACCTCCTGCAGCTTCAGTCTCGGGTCTCCGCTGCACCCCCCAAGAGGATGAATTAGCACAGTCCAAGCGGATCCCCTGTGGCGAAGAGTCCTGGGTCCTGAATAGGCCTGAGAGCTATGCAGAAAGGACACACCTGCCAACTAACCTCTAACGCACTGCAACATTTCACCTTGTTCCTCGATGAAAGCCATAGTAACAATACAGAGCTGTCACTGTGATATCCAAGGTGAAGTCCATGGAGGTTTTTAAATTTTAGATCATGGTTGTCAAAGTCAGGTCCCTGGTGGTCTTCCAGGTGGGCCAGGGGATGATGTTTCATGGCAGTGTTTAAAATGGGATCGTGCTTATCCTGAGGCTTTTGTTCTGGACTAGTGATTTGCTTATGAAATTAAACATAAACGAAACATTACCTCCTTGTCATCTCCAACAGTGTTCTTGACTTGGGCATCTCATGGTATATGATACAGAGTGTTTGGAGTCTGGACCTAATTCTGGTTCTGCTCCTCAATGTCTCTGTGACTCTGGCCAAGTCACCTCACATCTCTAGGCCTGAGTTTCCTCAGCGATGAAATGCAGGGGACGGATTATGTCATTTCTAATGTCCCTTCCAGTCCCCAGTGTACTGCCACATCTTTTTGTGAGAGGCAGTAAGATGTAGTCCTACTGTAGTGTCAACAAACATTGGTTACATGCCTCTTATGGGCCAAGTACTGGCGATACAAAGAAAAGCAAAAAATGGAGCCCAGTCCAATGGATGAGATGGGCATGTGGAGAGAGCTGGCTGGGTGGCCAGGAAAGCCTGCGTTCAAGCCCTGCCACTGACAAATGCTGGGCAAGCTGCTGGATTTTTCAGGGCTGTGGGCAACCCTCTGAGACTATAAGCAGCAGAGCAGCTCCCTATACCAATGAAATCACAGATTTAGTCTCCGTGCCATATAGAGTGACATTAAAAAAAAAAGTAAAGTAGGGCAGGAACTGTCTGCCTCTTAATTGGATCCCAGAGGGCCTAGCTTTCTCATGACTCCAAGTACAAATTCTGTCACTAATGTTTTTGGTAGGGTCATTCTATCAAAGCCCAGGGGTCCTCTTCTGAATAATCAAGTTAGTAAGATTTTATCTTAAAGGCATAACCCCTGCTTTTCTTATATTTTAGACGCTATATCCCTTTCCTAAGTTATGAGGATGACAACCATATTTGATCTTGGCCTTACTCACAGTTGTTTAAGGAAAGTGCTTTTTGAGCTGTGAATTACTGTCTGCACAAAATAGGCACTTCAATGTGAATTCCCATTCCCATGCTCCTATCTTTCTGGAATGTGGGGACAGGATGAATGAGAAGGCAGCCTAGGCCAAGCTAGGCTCATCTATAGCTTGCTTTTAATCACTGTCCACAGCCTCCCTAAAACTGAAGCACATCAAACTTACAAGGCCAGATTATAGGCAGCTCCGTTGGAGTTGTTCAATTTTTCAACTCACTCCTGCAGCTCTTATAATTAGTATTTCTGGAGAGTCCTCCAGAATGGAGTCACAGCAATCTCAACATCACAGAAGATTCCCAGAAAGCCTCTGGCACATCTGTATGTTCTCCAGCCCCTGAACTTCCCTAGCCACAGAAGTGGGGATCCCTAGGCTCACCAACAACAGCTAATCAAAGGTTTAGCTAGAACATCTCCAAGTTCTATTCCAAAAGCTTTTGGGGTTAGGTGAGAGCACAGAGTCAGCACGTTTCCTTTTCAGAGGTAATAATCTTCCTAGTCTATGGCCTTTTATCATCCTGTATTTTTTAAGGGGAAATAAATTTTCATGAAATTGCTATTTCCTTTCTAACAAGACACTTGTCCCTTAGGAAGGACATCACTGATAAGTGTCCAGTGTAGAGGGCTGGCTCTAAGGGTCCAATCTGGGTTTAAGACCCAGGACATAGCTTGACTTTTGCCCAGGCTTAACCCAAGGGGCTCAATCATTTAGGAAGCAGGGCTCTCCAAATCTCCCCCTGCAAGGAGGCTCCTGAGACATTCCTTCTCACTCTTTGAACCTTAGACTTACACATTCACTCCTCTTTGCAGATAGCGCCTAGGCACCAGGAAAAAGCCTTGGAGTTTACAACCCAATCTAGGAACTCTGACAACAAGGAAATGTATGTTGTCACGTCCTCAGCAGATGTTTCGGGGAGTGTCTCACAGGGAGGACTCTTTGAAGTTAGGCTAGATTTTCTCTATATAACCTGTACCCTCAGATGAATAAACTGAGTCAGTTTCTACTGCTCCACCTGGCCCACGTCTCACATTTATTTCGCACCTTCCAGTTCGGTGTACTATCTGATTGCTGACAATAGTCCAGAGGAGGGATACCAGGATGCTGAAGGGTCTTTAAGTCTGTCATATGAGGATGTGTTGAAGGATCGGAAAAGCAAAGCCCGAGAGAGGACACGAAGACCTTGTCCAAGTATCTGGGGGGCTGAGATGTGGAAGAAGGATTAGCTTGTTCTGTCTGGCCCTAGAGAGCAGAACCAGGAACAACGCATACAAATTGCCAAGTAGTAACTTCAGGCCTGACGTCAGGGAAAGCCCAGCAACGGGAATTGTCCATAATGCATTGCCTCTGGAGGTCTTCAAGCGGGACTGGGCCACTTCTTGGGTTACAGTGCAGTGTGGCTTCCCTCTTTGAATATTAGGAGCACTGGAATAAATAGCAGTGATATTCTTTCCAACTCTCAAATTCGGTAACTCTGTAAAACCATTTTTATACCTGTATCATACAAGGAAGTAGTGTGCACCCAAAGAATGCTCATCTAATGTATATATTATTCATGAAGGATTTTAAAATATTAATTGGGGGAGTAAAACTCTCAGGTATTCCTAAACTAATAAATAACATACATATTCAGTCATGTTGGATCTTCTTAATACTGTTAAAGGCTTTAGTTATGGCCCAATTCTACTTTTAGACTCTCTGATTTCTACATATCCTTTTATCATGTAAGAGATCCAGATTGAGTGACATTACCAGCTCATATTCCTTTTTGCCTGTTTTTAAACTAAACTGATTATTGAGGAGACAGCACACTTTGTACCCATTTTTTTCTTTTTGGCCCTAAAACGAACAGTTTATATGGGAACCAACTCTGAAGTGATAATTCCATCTGATGGGCTCTGTGGTGTGTATGGTCTCAGTTTTACATCAGGGCTGCAATCCAAAACTGCCTCCAGGGAAGGAAGGCACCAGCAAGACAGAAATCAGCAAACACTAAATAACTTTTAACAAATCAGGTGATTTATTGGTGTAATTTGGTAAAAAGTGAAAGTTTGGAACACTACACATCAATCTACCAAAAAGGAAATGTGCTGGACAACCCAGAAGGGCAATAATATGAAGAGTCAAGGCAGACTTGGAAATCACAGGAACACACATTAACAAGTGAGAAAGTCCTTTAAAGGAAGTTGGGTCTCAATGCAGCTGGAAACAAAAAATTGCAGCTCACGAATTAGCTCATGAATTCTAACTGCAGGTGCAGATAAACCTCCAGATAGTCATTCAGCAAATCCACGCCTGATATGCAGAGAAACCCGCAGGCAGACTGGACCATCGCACTAAATAGTATAACGAAACCCAGATGGTTTACTGGCAAAAGCCTTGTCAGAAGCAAACTCAGACTCTCTGGCCACGTGTCCCAGCAGCTGGGTCTGATGCACTATCCAGGCCCTTCCCAGGTTCTCAACTGTTTCAAAACCACATGTACAAAGGATTCTAACTCTGATTTAGCTTCAAAATGATTTTCAAAAAACACAGGTTAAGATTAAAAAACTGGAGTGAAGTGAGGCAGAGAAAAAAGAAATAATCCACAGTTAAATAATGTGAGATGTTAAGGAAGATCAAATCTTACCAAATTCCTTTAAAAAATTAACCTAAAAAAATTCACCATAGAAAAAGAACAGAAATGCTTGGCTATGGGGGGGGCAGGGCAAGAGGTTACTCAGCCATTTTGAAAAGTTATTCCTGAAATTTAGCCTTCATTCCCAAATTTCAGGCCAGATTCTGATCCCCTAAGAAAAGTACATGAGAAAAATTTCTGAGGAAACTGGCCCCAAATTTCCCAAACAACCAACCTGCCCAACAGTCCTCCTTGAGAGAGTTTTGGGAATGAAACAATCTTAAGCTCTTTGCTCTATTTCAGAATAAAAACCCAGCTCTTTCCTTGACTCAAAGAATTGAGAAATTAGAATTTCCAATTTTTATTGTAAACACCAGTCTGACAATGCAACATCACACTTCCGTTATAAGGCTAAAATTCCTCAATGCCACAAACTCTTGTGCCTTCTATTCTCCTTTAGGCAAAGCCAAAAAACTCTAAATAGCTGAGATACCAGTCTAACCCCACACTTAGGTGGCAACTTGTCAAACAGAAATGCTGGCTAGAGGAACACCAGTATTTATTGAGCAAGATGGAGATAATGAGAAGACAAGACCACACTCATTTGAAATGTTTGAATACTGAAACAAAGCCACAAGTGATTAAATTCCTGAATGCAGGATCAAATTAATAAGTGGTAGGGGAATTCAGAGAAAAAGGTGCATGTGGGCTGCAAGTTGAAAGAGGTGGGACTGAAGGTACCCTGAAGCAATTGGTTCCATTCTAGGGTAAGAATGGGGGGGAATGGCACACTCAGTGGTAAGTAGGTAATTCACAGGTTGGTGATGAGATTGCTCAGACCTTGGAGCACAGAAGAGTTAAGGTTGGATATGTAAATCGGTACTAGGTTGTTCTGAGTCTTGAACAACATGCAAGAAAACCTGGATTTATTCTGAAGCAATGGGAGATTTTTGAGCAGAAGACTGTGGTGAAAGGAATGTTTCAGGAAAATGAAGCTGTCACCTGTGCAAGGTGAAGGAAAAGAGACTGAAGGAAAGGAGATCAGTTGGAAGGCTACTACACTAATTCAGGTGTGAGATGATGAGCTCTGGATGAAGCTAACGGCAGTGGAAATGAAACAAACAAAACAAAGACAGAAGAGAGAGACATGTTAAATGAAGAGTCAACATAGTTCTTCTGCCTGAGGAGTAATGTGGCCTGCGTAACAGGGAAAACAAAAGTGACCCTAAGAAACAGGTTAAGTCAGGAGTGAGAAACAGTCTGAAAGATGGGGAAGGGTCTGGTTTTAGCCTCGCTGAGTTCCAAGTGACAGAGCCAAACATCCACGCAGAAACATTCAGCCAGTAGTTCTAGACACCAGACTTGGCCTCATGAGGGAGGCTAGGGTTAAAGACACCAAGCCACACAGTGAATGAGTTCCCTGAGTAAAGAGCAGAATGATGAAGTGTTGAAGAGTATTCACTGTTGTAAGGGGGCAGGATGAAGAGAAACAAGAGGTACTAAAGACGAGTAGCTGGAGAGGGAGGAAAAGAATACAATATTACAAAAACCAAGGGAGGAAGGACAGAATTTCAAATATCACTTGCGTGAGAAGCTGGGCAGTGACAAGGAGAATAAGGGGATGATCACCAGAAGGAACAGAGGCAGATAAACAGGAATGACATGCTGTATGTTTGGGAGCAGAGAGGGAAAACTAAGTGTGGAAAGAAATTAAAAATGCTGAAGAAGAAATGGAGAGAAGGATAACTAAAAAAAAGAAAGTGCCTGGGAAAAGACAGAAGAATCTGGAGCAAGACTGGGGGCAAGGGGACTTAGCTCTAGAATGAAGTAACATTTCTTCCGTCTACTACAGTGAAGGATGACACAAAGATATTGACTGGTTGAAGCAGAGATGAAGGGCAGGTGAAAATATGCAAGGGAGAAGGTCTTGAGCTATTCAATGAGGGAAGAAGGGCATTAAATGAAATGGAAAAAAAATGTCAACTCAAGACAATGAGCTCCCCCAATTGGAAGGCAGGTGAGAATGCATGCAACAATCTGAACCGAGCCTTCTGATAGCTTCCCTGCGATGCACTGATTCTCTCTCTCTGTGTGGCCTCATTCTCTGGGTCTCCCTCAGGTGAGCTGTTCTGCTTAGGCTTTCCCTTTACCCAAATCCATTCAGATTCCCTGTAACAAACCAATAAAACCAATTATCCTGTGACTGACTCACTTGAAACAAAGTTTCTGGCAGGGAAACCACACGCAAGACCAGGGCCTTGCCTCTTGCTAATTCCCACTGGCCAGCCACTGTGTGCCTGCCACACCCCTGACACAGGAGAGAAGCAGCTCAGCTCTGCCTACAGGACCACCAAAGGGTCACAGTCTCCCAGAACCCCTGCAAACAGCCAAGTCCAACTGGCCAGGAAGTTCTTCAGAAAGCTCTAAGAGAAAGGTAACATCAATGACAAATGCAAACTTGTTTGGTGAGAAATCTGCTTCTCAAAAACCTTTTGATGAAAATGATGTTCTCATGTGCACATTTCTACTGTGCCTACGGATGAACTGAGGAAGTAATGGGGCCTCAATGATCATCTTAGAATTCTAAACTATTTCAACCTAGGGGCTCTGCTCCCAGAAACCCGAGCCAAATATATATTCAGTGCAACTGAAGGGAAGCTGTTTCCCTCATCGGTAGTTTTCCTAAAGCAATTTGCAAACATTAGAAAGAATGGATAATTTATGCTTGATGGGTAGGAATCCACATGTGGAGAAGAGCCCTCAGGACCCAAGTCTCTCCCAGTTAGGTTGAGTAGGGCTTGGGAAGCACCCTAATATGGGTTTGCTCTTAAGCCGGCAGAGAGAAAATAGCCAAAGAGTGCAATGCTTCCTGCTAAGGCAAACTTTCTCACCACAAAGCTCCAGGGGAAAAGGTGCAACAACAGCACATCCCCAGCCAGGATTTTCCTTGGGCCACAGACCCGTAAGCTCTCGCTCTTCTCCACTCATCCGCAGAGGAGGAAAGAATGGAAGAAAACAGCATAACAACCAGCAAACATAAGGAGTCTGATTTTATCAAAGTGCAGGTGCAAAGCAGAAACCATTCCCTGCTTGACTGGCCCAGACTCGCCCAGGAGCCCCCGCTCAGGGAAACAGGCACTGCCCAGGTCAGGCACCATTCTTCAGGGCTCTTGTACTTCAGACACAAAGCAGGAGGGTGGGCATATTTCTCAGGGTGAAATCAGATCTAAAACAACAACAAAAACAATGCAGCTCATTTCCAAGAAATCTTCTTCATCCCCCACCTTAGTTTAAACTATCACAAGATACAAAAATGGTATCGCAAATTTAAATGAGAAAAAAAGACATACAAATACAGGACTGGATAAATGGGTAACAGAATAAAACATATCTTTGAAATCAGTCTTCAAAAGCAATGGGAACTTGAGAGGGCAGCAGTGCCTGGGCAGAATTCTGAAACTGGCCCATGCTCAGCTAAAGCAGAGGGACCAAGCCTGGCTCTCTTTGCAGACACAAAATGGCAGCAAATGGGGCTTTTTCTTGGCTGTCAACTGAGACCACCCCAAAGGCAAGCCCTACACCATTCGTTCTCAGGGCTAAGGATGAGAAGAGAGAAGGGTCCACACAGCAGCTGCACAGACATGCAAGTGTCCTAGCGCTCTTCTCACAGAGATACTTGAGGGAAGGGAGCTTAATCAGGGTCATTATCCTCTGGTCAATCTGCAACTTACTTTGGTCTCACCTCCCTAAGAAGATGGGGACACTTCTCCCCCTCCTAGAAATCAGAGATATTCCAAGTTGTACAAGAGTTAAGTCAACACCTGCTAACTGAATGCTCACCATGTCCTGCACATTTGGCTTAGAAAATCACAAAACCCATGCTCTTCCTAAGCTGTTTTGTTCTTAGAGACAGCTAGGGGGCACAATGGGTAGAGAGATGGGCATGAAGTCATGGAGACCTGAGTTTAAATCAGCCCTCAAGCCACTTACTAGCTCTGTGACTCCAGGCAATTTATGCCAGCCTTAGTTTTCTCATCTGTGAAATGGGCTAACAATAGCACGTACCTCCCAGGGTTGCTGTAAGGATCAAATGAGACAATACTTGTCAAGTACCTGGCCAATCTTAAACAGCTGTATTTGGACACTCCATGTTCTTCTTTCTAACCTTTCAGATGCTGTACAACTGTGGGGCTGGTCTGCTTGCCTAAAGCAGTGGCAACCCTCCCAGAGATTCTGGACTTTCTTACCTTTTGGTCCAAGCGCTGGTAATCACTTGCCTTTGGCCTCCTGGTGACTTTGGCTCTCTTTCCTTCAAGGGCAAAAGCAATGATCTGGCAAGAAAGAAAGATAGATAAACAGACTAAATGATTAAAAAAAATGTTTTGTAAGTAGGAAATTTTTCAAGCTTAGAAATCAGAGGTAGTCATTCCGGAGATTTAGTACTTAAAATTCTACAGAACAGAGCACAATTTTCATGTCTGGTCACAAAGCAACAGAGTCTTCATGGCTGTTATTTACCTATAACGTAAACTTTACATACTTTTGGGCAGCCAGGCCTATAGTCAGGCAGACTCAACTTCTTGAATCCAAATCTGGCCTCAAACATTTACTAGTTGTGTGACCCTGGGCAAGTCACTTAACCTTATCTGCTTCAGTTTCCTCATCTGTAAAATGAGCTGGAGATGGAAATGGCAAACCACTGCAGTATCTTTGCGAAGAAAACTCCAAATGGGGTCACAAAGAGTTGGACACAACTGAAAAATGACTCAAAATAACAACATATCCTGATTACTATGTCAAAATAAGTAAGGTTCAGTTTTTGCCATATTAAATTCACATTTTGGTTCATGCTGCTAAAATAAACTATTTTGAAGATATGCTTAAATTCACCTTAGTTACCAACTACTTTTAATCAGGGAACCTATTCACATCAGGTATCTACACTACTTAATAAAAGTGTTTCTAACATTGTGTTGTTTGGCAGTCTTGTGAAACCTAGGGACTCCTTTCTCAGAATACTGATTGGTTGCCTAGATCCATAAATGAAATGCTCAATTTCAGTTAGAGGTCAGTGAAAATAAAAATGTCATTTTTTTTCCATTCAAGTTTACAGACCTCCTAAAATCTACGGATGGGTTCCCATGGGGGTCTCAGTGTTCCCCAGATGGGCGGCCCATAGTCATTAGCGGAAAGAGTCTCTATTATATGAGCTCTCCGAATCAATAAAATCACAGATTTAACCACCAGCTCCCCTCTCCAACAACCATCAGCAAAATACCAAATAAAAATAAGGTTTCTGGAGTGATCACTTGCAAATCTAACCCTACAATGTAATAATCACCTTTTAAAGTTTGCAATTACTTTACATGTTGACAATATCATGTAGTCATACAGTTAGCTAAAATTTTTCTTAATAATTTGGGGCATGACTGAGGGGAGCTCTATTAATAAAAACAGCCCAATCCTAAGAGGTTGATAGTACAAGTGTTATTATCATTGAAGCACTTATATTTTAACAAATTTTTAAAAAATCCCACTTTTGCAACCTGGTTGTTTAATCTTTCTTATTTTAGACTAGAAGTAATATAAATTTTCAAGTTCTTTTTTCCCCCCAAATGAAAACACTCTTCATTATAGTAAACTTACTATTATCTGTTCTCAAACAAGATATGGCCTATTAAACAGTTTTCAAATATCTATTTTTATCACATTCTTTTAACAGTTCAATTCATAATCAAACAACATCCAAATAAAAAAGTTATTTGTCTAACAGCATTCCTCATACAATGGTTTCCCAAAGCATTTCACAATATAAGAGAATCCAGAAATACAGTAACACACAATATCATGTATTTAAAACATGAAACAAAACTTATTACCAGTCAGATGACATCAATTCAGCTGAATGCATTTCCAAATTATCCTATGTAGAAAATCATTAATCTTATTACTTTGCGCATTTTATATCAATCATATCTAAAACTTGGTATAGAGTTGTCAAGTACAAAATACTTACGTCCAATAAATTTTCAAGGTTCTTAATAAGATTTTACAGTCTTAATATAGAGAGGGCAAACTAGATATCTGGAAGTCAAATGAAGAACAGATGATTCAGAGAAATAAACAGCCTAGCTGGAGCCTGAAGCCACAATATGGACCTAAGATCCCAAGTACCTGACAGGTATACGAATACAACACCTCCTTCCTAATGTAACTTTGAACCTACCTTTCGCTTGTTATGATAGGCAATGTACAGGACAGCTACCAGGATGGCTGCTGTGACCAAGTATGCAAAAAAGTGGCTGCTCTCTGAATTTTCCTTGCCTGGGCCATTCTCCTTCAAATAAAGGTTGCCATGGTCAATACTGTCTGCGGGAGGATTCACATTGGTGTCTACTTTCGATGCCTCTTTAAAAGTATCACTAGGACTAAACTCAAGAAACTCTTTATCAGAATCAGGGTTCAGTTCATGCTTGTCGTCTTCTATGTCTGTCTCATGTTTATCCTCTCCTGTGTCAGTCCCCACATTGGCTTCTCCTTGGGTGGCCGGCTTGCCCTTGCCTGGTTCTGTCCCCTGGTTGGCTTCTCCTTGCGTGGCTGGCTTGCCCTTGCCTGATTCTGTCCCCTGGCTGGCTTCTCCTTGCGTGGCTGGCTTGCCCTTGCCTGATTCTGTCCCCTGGTTGGCTTCTCCTTGCGTGGCTGGCTTGCCGTGGCCTGATTCTGTCCCCTGGTTGGCTTCTCCTTGCGTGGCTGGCTTGCCGTGGCCTGATTCTGTCTCCTGGTTGGCTTCTCCTTGCGTGGCTGGCTTGCCCTTGCCTGATTCTGTCCCCTGGTTGGCTTCTCCTTGCGTGGCTGGCTTGCCCTTGCCTGATTCTGTCCCCTGGTTGGCTTCTCCTTGCGTGGCTGGCTTGCCGTGGCCTGATTCTGTCCCCTGGTTGGCTTCTCCTTGCGTGGCTGGCTTGCCGTGGCCTGATTCTGTCCCCTGGTTGGCTTCTCCTTGTGTGGCTGGCTTGCTGTGGCCTGATTCTGTCCCCTGGTTGGCTTCTCCTTGTGTGGCCGGCTTGCCCTGGCCTGATTCTGTCCCCGGGCTGGCGGCCTGTCCTTGCGTGACCGGCTTGCCTTGACCTGGTTCCCTCCCCCGGCTGGCTTCTTCTGGGGTGTTCGCCCCACCCCCTTCTGCGCTGACCACCTCAGCCTCTTCTCTGCCACTCTCAGGCCTGGCTCCAGCAGCAGGGTCAGGATTGGAAGGCATCCTCACGATGGGATCAGTATCTGCAGCACTTGCTGCATCCTTCTGTTGGCTGTCCTCATTCCCGCGATTCTTGGGGTCCTTGGTGACACTGGACCCTCCTCCTCCACCCCCTGCCTCCTTACTGATGGCGCTGCCAGCTCCTGAAGAGGGAAAATGGGAGGTGGGGGGGTCATGACAGGTGGGGGGGCGTCGTGACAGGTGGGGGGGGCTTCGTGACAGGTGAGGGAAGAGGCCACCTGGAAAAGGGGCAGGAATTTCAGCACGGGGGGAGGGAGGAAGCGAAGGGCGGAGGCCGCGGTCCCGCCTGAAGCCCGGCCCAGGGCGCAGGAGGGGGAAGGGGCGGTTGGCGAGGCCGCAGCTGGCAGGCCGCTGTCCGCTATCCGGCTCGGGCTGGGCCCCAGGGGCCGAGCGGGAGCACCGCGGGCTGGGCCAGGGTTCGGGTCCGGGGCGGTGGGGAGGGTGGGGTCCTTACCAGTCGCGACAGCGATACTCCACAGGAGCGCGAACCCGAGCAGGAACCGCATCCTTCGGCAGCCACTGCGCTTCCGCCCACGCGCACTCTCGCGAGATCAGTGGGCCTGCGGCCGAGATGTTGACGTCACGCCTAGTTGCTTCCCTCCCGCCTTCAGTCCTGAGGGCCCCGCCTTCTGGGGGGCGTGGCCAAGGGTGTGGCCTCCTTGAAGTTCCCTGCGATACAATTCTGGTTCATTAAACGCTTTGTAGGGGCTATTTAAGCCAGCGCAGAAGGGCTTGGTTCGAATTCTACCTCTGATCCGTACTGGCTAAAAGTCACTTCCCCAACCCGTGATCTTTAGGCCACTCTCCAGGCTCTACGTGGCAGGGAGGTGCCAGCCCGTGCTGGCAGAGGGGGCTTCCTTCTCTGCCTCTCTGAACTGGATGTCCAGTAGACATCTTACACTCAAACCCTCCTGCCTCTTCCTCTCCCTCAGGCTCCCCACCCAGGACACATCCTGGATACCTCTCCTCCCCTCCCCCCCATATCCGAGTTGTTGCCAAGGCCTGTGGATTTCACCTCCCCAGCCCCCTCTTGGATTTCACCTCCTCAGCCTCTGTTTTAGATTTCATCTCCACAGCCTCTCTCTCTTTAGGTAAAAGTAATTTTCCTAAAACCAGGTCTGATCATGCCACCTCCCCTTTACCCCAATACACACAGTCAATAAACTCCAATGGCTCGATATTGCCTCCAGGATCAAATAAAAAACCTCTGAGATTGGCATTCTAAGCCCTTCATAAACTACCTCCGTCTTTCCTTTGATGTCTTCTAACACCTTACTCACCCATATGTACTCTTCGATCCAGTGACCCTGGTTTCCTGGCCGTTCCACAAATAAGACCCTCCTTCTCTCTGCTCTGGCCATTTTCTTTGGCTGTCCCCTATGCTTAGAATTACTCTCCTCCACTCTGATTACTAACCTCCCTAGTTTCCTTTAAGTCCCATCTAAAATATCATCTTCTATAGGAAGTCTTCTCCAACCCCTCTCAATTCCAGTGCCTTCCCTCTGTTAAATATTTCCTACTTATCCTGTATGTAAGTTGCTTTGCATATTGTTTCCCCCATTAGATTGTGAGCGCCTTGAAGGTAGGGGCTGACAGTTTTTAATTTAACTAAATTTTTTAGGATAAAATAACAAACTTTTCAGCTTAACATTTATAGCCCTTCTCAGTATGGCTCTGGATTATCCTTCCTGATTTCTTTTTTATTATTCCTGTTAACAAGTTAGACCAGTGGTTCTCAAAGTGTGATCGAGTCCCCAAGGCTGAATCTCTGGAAATCCCCAAGACCCTTTGCGGTGGTCAAAACTATTTTCTATGTTCTTTTTTTTTTCTTTTTTGGCTAGGCAATGGGATTAAGTGACTTGCCTAGGGTCACACAGCTAGTAAGTGTTATGTGTCTGAGGTCGCATTTGAACTCAGGTCCTCCTGAATCCACTGCGCCACCCAGCTGCCCCTCAAAACTATTTTCATAATTACGTTAAGACGTTTTAATTTACAATGTGGTAAGTATCAATAGATAAAACTCACATAAACAAAAGCTCTTTGAGGGGGTCTTCTCTAATTTTTAAGAAGCTAAAGGGTTCCTGTGACCAACAACTTTGAGAACCACTGACTGCTGTAGACCATCCAGCCCAAATGACCAGTTTGGACTTCCTCCAGCCCCATTCCATTCTCTCTTCACGGGTTTGCATAGGGCTGTACCCCAAGCCTGGGAAGTACTTCCTCCTTACCAGAAGCCTCTTAGCTTCCTTTCAGACCAGGGACCACCTCCAACAAGAAACCTCCCCCCACACACTCCCTCTCATTATCAGCATTCTCTCCTGTCTCCTTCTGTTCCTTCTCAAATTACCATGCATATACTTATCTGTTCGCACCTTATGCTCCCCTCACCATTAGAATTCCAGCTTCAGGAAGAAAACCCAAGCTCAGCACATATCCCAGAGGTCACAGACCAGAAAGCTCCACGTACACCAATATGATTACTACAGCAAAGAACTGGAAATAGAGCACTCCCCCATTGATTGGGAAAGAGCTACACAAATCATGTTCTGTGAATGTTATGGACTATCACTAACATGTGAGGGAGGACGGATCTGAGGAATTTAGAGAAGCATGGAAAGATGCAGAAATGATGCAGAGTAAAATGTCGTAATAATAATAATGCCTAACATTTGTACAGCGCCTCCTATGTGCCAAGAGCTTTATGAATATTATCTCATTTGATCTTCCCATCAACCCTAGGAGGTAGGTGCTACTATTATCCCCATTTTGCAGATAAGGAAACTGAGGCAGACAGCAGTCCTTTGACTTGCCCAGGGTCATACAACTAGTTAGTGCCTGAGGTCTGATTTGAACTTGGGTCTTCTTGACTCCGTGCTCAGTGCCCTTTCCACTGTGCCACCCAGCTGCCTAAGTAGAACTGGTAAAGATAATATGATCAAACAGCCAATCAATGGGCATTTGTTAAGTGTGTAATATGTGCCAAGCATTTTGCTGCACTCAGACAACATGAATGCATGCACACACGCGCGTGCGCACACACACACACACACACACACACACACACACACACTAAATAGGTGATGGGGCCGGTACCCATGATGTCACAGAGGACTCCCAGGTGAGGAAATTTCCTCTAATAAATCAAGTTGGTGCCTTCTCTGCAACATATAGTCTTCATAAGAGCCACCCAGAGAGGTTAACCTAGAGGTTAAATGACATGCCCAGGGTCACACATCTAGTGTGTTTCAAAGCTGGATCTTGAAGCCAAGCTTTCTAGCTGCAGGCCAGCTCTATATCATCTATGTCATGCTGTCTCACAAAAATGAAGCAGGAAGAAACTGGGGGTGGGAGGGGAAGGTAGTGACATCAGAAAGGGCTTCATGTAGAAAGGAGCACTTTTGCTGAACCTTGATGAAAATTACAGATGCTAGTCAGTTATTCAGTCAGCTAGCAAGCATTTATTAGGCATTTACTATGTGCCAGGCACTGTGGATATAAAGAAAGGGAAAAATAAGCCTTGCCCTCAGGGAGCCCACATTCAAACGCAGGAAAAAAACATGTGAATAACTGTGTACATGGAAGATTGTTGTCCTTTGTGCTCAAAGAGGACCAAAGTGGTATCACTGTGTTGGGGTCAAGGTACAGTGTGGCTGACTTTTGCTGAGCAGACCAATACAAGCGTGGAATGCTCTACCCCAGGTCGGGTACACATAGTCCATATGGATATTTGGTATGGAGAAGTCCCTAAATTTGCACATCTCACATTTATTTTGAACTACTGTAAATTCTGCTTTGCTCACAGGGTACAAGTGTCATCTTTGACATGGGCATGTCGTGGTGGGCGGTCCTGTGCCAGTGTCTCCCATGTCTCCCAATTGATTCCAAAGTTCTTCAGAGAGACCTTGAGAGTGTCCTTGTATTGATTCTTCTGACCTCTGGGTGAGCACTTGCCCTGTGTATGTTCTCCATACAATAGTCTTTTAGGCAAATGTGTGTTTGGCATCTGAACAATGTGGCCAACCGTCAGAGGTGTACTCTCTGCAGTAGAGTTTGAATGCGTGGCAGTTCAGCTCGAGAAAGGACCTCAGTGTCTAGTACTTATCCTGCCAGGTGATCTTCAGAATCTTCCTAAGACAGTTCAAACGGAAGCGATTCAGTGTTCTGGCATGGTGCTGGTATACCATCCAGTTTTCACAGGCATACAACAATGAGGTCAGTGCAATGGCTCTGTAGACCTTCAGTTTGGTAGGCCACCTAATACCTCTTCTCCCCACTGTTGCGGAACATGCAAGATAACAACAGTGTAAACGGAATGTAATCTCAGAGGCTGGGCCAGAGAGCATTGGGGGAGAATAGAAAAGTCTTCCTGAAGAAGGTGGGATTTGATTTGAGTCTTGAAGAAAATCTGGGAAACTAAGGCAGAGGTAAAGGGGGGAAGGTGACTCCAGGCAAGAGAGAGGAGATAGAGGGTCATGTTCCAAGCTCTGCAAGGAGTGCCAGTGGAGACTCAGCTGTCAAGGTGAGCTCCCTAAATCATAGTTCTAGCCATGTTACTGCCCCACTCAATAAACTCTAGTGGGTCCTTATTACCGCTTTGATCAAATATAAAGCCCTCTGGAATTGAAAGTCCTGCCCCTTCTGACCTTTCTAGCCTTGCTACACCTTTACTCTCCCCTAAACACTCTACCATCCAGCTGCACTGGCATTCCTTGAAGATCTTGGGACGTGAGAGTGAAATATCTTACTATGAAGCTAGAAGAAAAAAGGCTGTCAACTCAATTAGTTGTTTGGGAATAAAATTTATCTTTATCCAGTTTGGTTAGACCATAGAGTACATTATTAGGTACCTTGTCTTTAAGCTGGGAGTAGTTTTGTTGCCCCAAAGGACAGAAAATGAACTGTGGCATACAGAACAACATTTAGGGGGGCAGCTTGGCAGGACAGTGGATAGAGCACTGGGTTAGGAGTAAGGAAGACCTGAGTTCAAACCCCATCTCAGATTACTTACTAGCTGTGTGATTCTGAGCAAGTCACTTAACCTGTTTGCCTCAGTTTCCTCATCTATAAAATGGGGATGATAATGGTACCTACCTCCCAGTGAGGTTATGAGGACTAAATGAGACAATATTTGTAAAATCACTTGGCATAATGCCTGGCACACAGTAGGTGCTATGTAAATGTTAGCTATTATTAATATTAAATTACCTTGCAAAGGATGTAAGGGGATGCCTCTTTTTATGTGAACAGCTTGATGGTTGAAAGGGCCAGAGAAATAACTTTTATGTACTAAAAACTTATAAAATACAAGCATGAAGAAACATGCTTTTCAGAGACATGGACAGATGGAGAGGACCATTTGGAGTTATTCAGAATGACTAGAGCTCCACGGCATTGGGTTTTCGTAGCTTTTTTTGCATGCAGCTCTTGCTGAGGATTAAGAGGTTAAAACACAGGAAATGGTCAATCAAATAACCAGCTTGGAGACTCTGCAGTGATAAAATAGGGAACGCTCATTTCTAAAAGGAGGTCTGGGGAGTTTTTACAACATACTACATGGTGAGTCGC